TCTGCTACTCAATCCTTCTCCAGAACCAACAGTGACTCTCCCAAAGTGTATCTCAAGAACCCTCAAGGTACTATCTGAGCACCATTGGAAACCAAACCCCGTTAACAGTCCTTAACTGTGCTGTCTCTCACGCAGACTCCGGTGAAACCAGAATCCAGGCCCGAACCAGCCTTCAGCATATTCAGTGTGATTGTGCAAATAAACTTGTTAAACTTTTCATCCTGTGTCCGTCAGTGGTGTTCTGCATCTTTGGGTCTCCATTAGAGAACCGATCATGACACAAATCAAACTGAAACATCTTTATTATTCAACATCATTTCACTAATTCTGCTCAATTTTTTCCATCACAATAAAACATTTTAAAGTTCTAACAATAAAATAAAGTTCAATATTTGATATTAATGATGTTTGAAAAAAGGGAAAACTCACCTCAGTTTCTTCACTTTGCAGATTGAACTCTCCAGTATCTCACACAGATGCTTCCTTTCAGAGTCTCCTAAGGTTCCCTCTACATAGATCTCATCTATTATCACTTCAGTCAGATGAAGGTTGGACTTCAGAGCTGAGGCCACAATTTCATAGTCAGCCTCAGTGAGAGAAAAGCCACCAAGTCTGTGATTAGAGGAGGAATAAAGTCAGTTCTAATTAAATCAGACAATCTGGATGATAAACACAGACTAAAACATGATGAGCAAACAGTGATGTCATCATCTGATGAACATCTGCTCTCCACATCAAGGCCCAAACCTCTGGGAGAAGACAGAGCATTTGGGTCAAGCAGCATTTTTCATGTGAAAGCAGTGAAAGTTCTCCCAGTAATTAGAAGAGCCTGGAATGTTTAAAGGGTTAAAGCAAATGTCTCTGAAGGTCTTTATGGAGGACATCTACCAGCTTCAACCAAGGGTGTAACTTTGTAATGAAAGTTGGTGGGGACACTATAAGGCAGAAGGCAAAGGATTAGTGAACTGATTACTCCTCTGCCATGGCGTGGTAATATAACCAACCAGAGGGTGTCGCAATTATCAGCCGTAGAGTTATCAATGCTGTTTTAAGGTCTGGGCCTGGCAATGAATTCAAACTTTGTTTTTTTTTTTTTGGAACATTGGCGAGGCGGTAGCGTGAGAAGTGCTGCGGGAAACGCTGCAATACTAACATTACATTATCACACCGTACTCTCAGTCCCTCAGTAACTTAGCCTGTGAATTCCTAGCAAGCAGTTACTAGCGTAAACAAATAGGCACTAACGTTAACGTGTACTAGGCTACTTCAGTTGGCTTACTTAAAAAGTCTATGACTTACCCTTCATGTGACTCGACAGCGCAGAGCTTAACCTGCCTTCCAGCCCTGGTGAGCCAAACCTGAAGATTCCTATTTGGATTTCCCCAGCTGCTCTCTGGGAAGAGCTAGAAACTCTGATCAAGGTCTGCCATTCAAAGTCAGAAGCTAGACGCTGCAGCTGGTTGTGTACTCTGCTGAACCAACAGTTTCTGGACCCAACGGTTCCCTCTCTCACAAGAGAAGCCTGGACCCCGTCAAGGTAGAATCAGAATTATCTAAAGGACCCTTTAATCATCTGCCTGCCCAGCTAATCAAACTATCATCTCTGCAGATATCAGTGAACCCAACCCGGACCTGTTCCAGATCCAGTTCATGTTTTTGTGTATCAATATCTTAAATAAACTTTTACCCAGCCTCCACTGTGTTCTGCATGTGGGTTTGAATATAAACCAATCATGACATTTGCAGACTTTACAAGAGGCAACTCGTGGGGTTTGTCCCCGTTTAATCAATAATTTGTATTTTTCATCTTCCAGCCAAGATTCATTGAAACGACAGCCTCCTGGCATGGTGCAGTAGTGGTTTCATGGGGGCAGAGTGACACATGGAAATAGACTTGCAGATCGCAGTCACACATAAGCGAGCAGGTTTCATTTTCGGGTCCTCCAACATTTTATTTCTCCATTTAATAAACACACGATTCAGTTAGAAAGGTATTTTTTGCAAAAGAAATAGTTACAATTTCAAGCATTTTCAAGCATTTCATCCAAAATATAAGCACTTTTCAAACCTTGAAAACACAATGTCAAAATTCAAGCATTTTTAAGGATTTCAAGCACACGTACGAACCCTGTCATTAAGACAAAATGAAAGAAAAATAACAAACACTCAGTTCAGGTGTTTTATATAAGATGTGAGTCAGGAAATTGTCTGTAAACCAAACTATTGTTGATCCCTACTTCAAAAAACACTTTAGACTTCAAAATAGAATAGAAAAAATGTGTTTATTATTTTTTTTTATTATTTAATGTATAACATGGATGCATAAACACCTCATTTTATATCAGTGTTAAATTCTGTTTAAAGTAACAGATCATTAAAAATGTCTCCAGGCCTTTACTGGTTGATGATTTTCTTTATTCGTCCCCCCCTCATTTTTAACTGGTTACCCCAGATTGTGTTGGGGATGATGAATCTGCAGTTAAAGGATTTAAATGCTTTTGTTAGGTTTTTGTATTGAGCTAAAAGTAAGCCCAAATACAAATTTGAACGCCATACACTTATTCAGTGCTATCATATGGCTGAGAATGCAACAGTTACAAAATAAAATATTATGATGTACAGATAGACTGGTTCTTTTAAGTGTCTCTGTTGTAATGGCTTAGAAACATCAGCAACATTAATAACAAATAAAAACAGGAAAAAAACTGTAACAGTAAAAACTGCGATGTTTTTCTTTTTAAACTAGCAAAGAACACAGTATTTAAACACCTGCTTTTGTCAAACTTATTGCATTACAATACTAATTTTCAAGGCTACTTGCACTCCATTTCTTTTATTTGTTGAAAAAGCTCTGTATGTCTGACGACTTTTTCGGTAGCATCTTTTTTTTTAACCAACCCGCCTACTACTTTTTTATTGGAAATAAAACCTGAAGTACCTGCTGGTTAATATTAATGAGAGCTACTGTGTGTCGTCTCTCCTCCAATCACGTAGCTACTGATGACCTGGTGAAGAGCGACAGTCAATCGTGTTTTATCATAAAGTGACAGACGTGGAGCCATGGACAGAGGATCCAATGATGTTATATCAGTAGGCGGGACTCAGGAACAGCGGGATAGCAAGACAGAAACGCTGACTGAAAACTCCAAACAACTCATCTCCATGGCAACAGCAGCAATGCAGGGATTGATCTGAATTGTCCAAGTTTTCATCAGAGCAAAACAGTGATTTTATAAAAACAATCAAAGAGACTAAAAAGGTGAATTCTGGGCTAACAGCCCAATGAGTGAAGAGGAGTTTAAGGGTTCTGATGTGTCTCTGGCTGATTGGATCTTTAGAGGAAAGAATGATTTTTCTACAATCTGAAGTTTTTTTTTTTCATTTTAATGGCAGATGGAAACTGATCCAAAGTATAATATTTTTAAAATGATCCAAATCTCTAAACACCAAAAGCTCCAGCAGAGCTGTCTTGAAGGAGATGAACGTTTAGATGTTTGAATGGTTGAAATGGTCCAAAGGATGAAGGAAGAAGTTAAAGAGCAAAAATTTCCAGAAGCAACTAGAACCATGAAGAAGAACCAGGAGGACAATAGAGCTGACTCACCATCACCCCATGAAGACATCTGGACTCACCGAGCCTTTCTGCAGTTCCTCACAGCTGGAACCAGTCTACGTCGTCCTCCCTCTGATGTGTTGTACTTCTCCAGGTCCAACTGATCCACAACCTCTGACGTCTGCAGCATGCAGAACAGAGCTGAGCACTGGATCTCTGAGAGATACTTCCCTGATTCCAGGAACTGTTGGATCTCCTGAAATAGTGAGAGGTCCTTCATGTCCACCAGACAGTGAAAGATGTTGATGCTTCTGTCAGTGGAGATTATATCAGTGTTCATCTCCTTCAGATTGTCGATGACTCTCTGGATGGTTCCTGGACTGGTCTCCATCTGACCCAGTAGAAAGCCTAAGAGTTTGTAGTTGGACTCCACAATGAGGCCATGAAGGAAGCGGGCAAACAGGCCCAGGTGGCCATTTGGACTCCAGAGGGATTTCTCCATGATTCTCTTCATGGAGTCCATCAGATATTTTCCACTGACGTTTTTTCTCCCTCTGGATGTTTCTCCTAGGAACTTCTCCACCACCTTTGTGTTCCTGCTGGTGAAACAGTGGAGCATGTAGACTGCAGCCAGAAACTCCTGGATGCTCAGATGAACAAAGCAGTAGACTGGTTTCTGGAAGACCACGCTCTCTCTTTTGAAGATCTCTGTACAAACTCCTGAGTACACCGAGGCCTGTGTGACATCCAGACCACACTGCTCCAGGTCTTCTTGGTAGAACAGGATTTTTCCTTTCTCCAGATTTTCTAACGCCAGCCTCCCCAGCTTCAGGAGAACTTCCCGGTCAGCCTCCATCAGACGCTTTGATCTTCTCCGGTGTCCTTCATGGTACTTGTTCTTCTTCCTCTTGGTCTGGACCAGCAGGAAGTGTGAGTACATGTCATTCATGGTCTTGGGCAGCTCTCCTCTCTGCTCTGTGGTCAACAGGTTCTCCAGAACCGTAGCAGTGATCCAGCAGAACACTGGGATCCCACACATGATGTGGAGGCTCTTGGAGGTCTGGATGTGGGAGATGATCCTGCTGGACATCTTTTCATTACTGAACCTCCTCCTGAAGTACTCCACCTTCTGGGCGTCAGTGAAGCCTCGTACTTCTGTTACCCTGGAAACACAGGAAGGAGGGATCTGATTGGCTGCTGCAGGTCTGGAAGTTATCCAGACCAGAGCCGAGGGAAGCAGGTTCCCCTTGATGAGGTTCATCAGCAGAACGTTGACTTCTGTGTGACGTCAGAAACAAGTCGACTGTT